AGTGACAGAATTAGTCACTATTTGCTACTAAAAATTCATTTTTCAACAGCTTGGCCCTCCCCCAACTTGTTTTAGCAACACTTGGTCCTCTTTATACATAATCTGGCTCCGCCACTCCTCACGACCCAACCCGATGGGCATGGCGAGCCACAGCCGCTGCCACGCGGGGGAGCCACCAGCGCAGGAGCTCCACGCTGACGAGTCGCTCAGTGCCATGTCCGCCGCCACTACTAGGGAGGAGTGACGGCCCAGTACGGGACCAAGCGTCGCAACATAGAGGGTCGCGGTGGTGGCCGCCACAGCCGTAGACGCCGGGGATACCACTGTCCAGTGCATATCGTCCCACATACATCATGAGACCTAAGGCAGCCTTGTCACAAACCAAACATCTCCATAGCTCACTCTGTGCATTTTAAAACCGAACCAAAAAACTATACCGAAAATAAACCGAACCGAACCAAATTTACGGTTTATATGGTTTCTGGTTTCGGTATAGTATGAAATTTTCATACCGTTTTGAACTTTGGTTTTTATGGTATATACCGAAAGACCGAACGGTTAACCGGATAAATCAAAGTAAAAAATAAATTTATATTTCTTAAGATGAACAACCATACAAGTTATCATTTTTCTTGTACATGAGTCAAATTCATTACTAAGCACGTAAATTTTTCTTGTAACATAGTCATTTTTCTTTTTTTAAATTGCTAAGTACGTCCATAACCATCAATAGATGAATCAATGCATCTATATATAGTTATATACTATTTGTGTAAAATAATATGTGTTTTGAGTCATAAATTTGCAAATTATTATTATTATGTCATTTCCAAATTCGCGTCAACTCTGGTTATTATGGTATATTCCCAAACCATACCGAAATAATTTGTTATATATCGAAACCGAATCGTATTTTAATTTCATGCCGTATTTATCAAAGTATTAATACTGTACAAACCGAAAAGCCGCATAAACCAAACCATGTAAACCGAATAAACCGAACATACAAAGTGACCCATAGCTCACGGCTAGGGGACATATGCCCCCCCCCCCCTAGTGAACAATCTGTATTTGTATTGCGGTGAATCGATTGGATCATCTACTAGGGTGAATTTTTCTTGAACACCCAATGTTAAATTTCTTAGATATTAACTCAACGGAATGGTAAGTATGGATTTTTTTTCTTACAAAAAAACTGTTGATCTGGCCATTCATTAATTGTCAAGACATTACAAAGACATGAAAATAACAAAAAGTAATTCAAAATCCACAGACCTTCTAGCGACGACTACAAACACTGAAACGAGCTGAAAACGCACCGTTATCGTCGACCCTCCCTCATCGGAGCCAGACAAATCTCTGCTTTGTGCAACGGGAGCTTGTGCATGTACAGGGAGCATAGTACGTACAGTATGTATGTGACGCACACGGCCTCTCGGTGGAGCACGAGCGTTTCCTGGTGGGGCCGGGAGGGACGCTCCTGCCGCGGCCCGGTCTAGCAGCGAGTCCACCGCACCTGAAAACAGCACAATGCGGCCAGTGCGTTGCGATGTCTGGTCTCTGGCGTGAGCCACCCGCTGGGCCTCGCCGTGTCGTGCCGTCCGGCATCTCGGTTGTCTCGTCACCACATCTGGAGGACGAGACGACTGGAAGCCAAGCCAGCACTCTCGCTGGCCGGAGCCTGCAGGACGCACAAGGAAGGAATGTACGTACGTGGACATTAGCGGCGAGGCGAGGCCGGCAGTAGCTACGTTGTCAGAGTAGTTCAGTCAGAACCACGCCGGCCGCGTGCCATGTGCTTGACGTGGAAATGCTGTGTCTCACGGTGCTCACGTGTCTTAACGTGTTACCTTGCACTGAACTTAGCTCCCAGAAACATCCAATGCGAAGTGTGGACCAGCTGATGTTGAAGAGCTCCTATGGATGCCTTGTTCTTGCAAACACTTCTCCAAAAATAATGCTCGAGTGCTCTCCTACTGAGCTGGTGAGCTGGAAACTCTCACAGGCTCATGCCGCGGAGTTCTATATCGACTGCTCGGTACATTTGAGGTTTGAGTTCAGTCCTTTGATGGTTTGGAAGATTGCTTGGGTGCTTGGTTCTGTGTGTACTATTGTTGCATACAACTCCCAGTGTGCAGTCTTTACAAGACTGAATGGTTGGCATGTGATGGGTCAACCAAGTGCTCTCAGGTGTATCTCCCTGATCGGCAAGCAAAATTTGAAGGATGGAGGAGTCTTATGCTTATGGACATCTTCCTCGATCAAGTCTACATCAGCCACGGGAACTACTTCAACATCAACCAAGTCCGTGCCAACAATGACTTCTACCTCGACGACGCTAGCGTCTTTGACATTGATCAAGTCTACCTCGAACATGGTTACTACCGTAAAGGATATCACACCCCTCTGGCAGTTCCATGGGACCCGGGCATAAATTCTTCGGTGTCGGCTTGGGGTCAAGCCGAGTTTCAAGGAGGGAGGAATGTCACGGGAACTACTTCATCAACCACAACCAAAGAGGCTCAAGGCTGGCCCACGAGGCCCAAACAGACTGCAAAGCCCAACCCGAGGAGGCATGACCTGATATATAGAGGAACACATCGCTTCAGGGAAGGGGCATCGAAGAACTGGAACCCGAACTGGCCGCCGTTGGGCGTTTTCCCTCTCCCACCTCCTGGCTCTAGATTCCCAGATCCCCTTTCTTGCTGATAGAAACTTGTATCTGTGACTGAATTCCTTGTATCCATCATCATGTGACCCTCATAACAACCATCATCATGTGCATCAGACAATAAATAAGAAAAAGCCCCGCCTTCATCCTCTTCACAGACATTATTATCCTGAGCCCACTGTGAAACAAAATGTAAAAGGCTGAAAGCATGAGATACATACAGATATGGTTGTAAAATAATTGAGGTACTGATAAATAATACCTGCAGCAGAATCACACAAATGCCTCGTAATCATAACTGGGTCCACATTACCAATTTTCTGCAATTATTAACTCCGTTAAATATATTTCCACAAAAAATATAAAGTGCTGAAGACAAAAAATAAAGCAGAGCTCCAGCGCTGACCAAGGTAATGTCTAAAAGATAAAAAATGGCTAGAAAAATCCTCTTGGCATACATGCAGTACAGAACTTAAAACCGCGAACTGAATGTAACCAGATAACGAGACAGGAATTCAGAGCTTTTCATACACTGATGGAAACTATTCAAGACCCTCCGTGGACAGCAATTTGGGGCATGGAAGTGAAGCCTTATGTCACACTGATGGATGGGACCACCAGCATGCCAGATTGTGGTAAGGAGGAGGAGAAAGGAGGCTGCTGTGAAGGAGCGTTTCTGAAGATACACTCTGACGAAACTGAAGAAACGCGCAGTGCTGTCGAGATAATATGGCAGAGATATCTCAGGCGTGTCATGGAACATGCGGTTAATATGGCGGAGATATCTTTGCATGACAGGAACGTATATATGCGCTGTGGTGACTTGGATCCCAAGATGAAGTGCTGATCGAGATATCCACGGAACGCTGATGAGCGCATGCAGATCACTGAAGAATTGGGGATGTCTTTGCCTGCTATGGTTCGCTTCCTGTCGTAATTGAAAAAAAGAAATGTGTGACATTTTTTTTAGAAAAGGAGGATGACCCCCGGCCTCTGCATCTGAGCGATGCATACGGCCACTTTATTAATTATTCTCATAAGACCTTACAAAGCCAAACAACAATAAGACTAAAGCCACCGTCTAAGCAACAATTGTTGCTACACCTATCCAATTGATGAAGAGCGCAGATAGTCTGGGCCTAATACCAAACAGACATCGCAGCCAAATCTAAACATCTAAGACCTGAGGTCTCAACCAGGATGCCTGCCTGGTATGGGGCACCTACCAGTCCGGCGCACTCCTCAACCAGGACGCCTGGCGGGTATGAGGCCGCCGCAGCCACCTGCCACCAATCCATCTTCAGAGCTGTACTGTTGCATGTATCGTGCCAGGTCTCTCTGCCATCGACGCCACCACGACGCCCGACAACGTCGTCCTCCTGCGCGAGCCCATCCTCCCACAGCGGACTCCGAATCTGCACTGCGCCACGCCGTCAAGATCCGTCGCCATCAGTGTGTAGGATGAAACACCGCTCCACCAAAGAAATCCGTCCTCTGGTCCCTCGATCACGTGTGTACCTCCAAGAATGACGCCCCCAAGGGAGGAACGACACCAAGAGCGCCGCCGTCATCCGATCATCCGATCTAGGGTTTCCCCCGGAGGTAGCAGAGAGTGGTCTTGAACTTCTCCACGGCGATGCCTTCAAGAAAGGAACGACACAAATAGCGCCGCCACCGCCGGCCTTAGCAGACGCCGAAGGCAAGTTTTCACCCAGATCAGTTCGAAGGGATCCAACTCTCGTGCACAGACCGCCATCACCACCAGCACCACCAGGCAGAACCCTGGAGCACCGGCAGATCAGCGAGCCGCTGGCACCACCGCATCCAGATCGCCGGCCACGCCGGGCCGCCGCCATCCCCCGCGCCGTCCAGGTCAGAGACGGAGCCGCCGACCGCGCACAGGGACCACCTCCGCCTGCACACGCCGGAGCGCCGCCTAGAGCCCAGCGTCCGCCACCGCTTGCCGCGCGCCCCGAGCGGACTCCCACGCACACTAGGGGAAACCGCGAGCGTGAGCCCTGCAGTCGCCCCCAAGCCCGTGCCGGCGCGCCCTGCCTCCAGCGAGCCGCCAACAACCGCCGCGATCCGCCCGCGCCAGATCCAGTGAGTTGTGGGAGAAGAGATCCCGCCGCCGCCGACGCCGACCGGGGGCTTTGCCCGGCGGCGGCGAGGAGGAGAGGTCGGGGGAGGGACGAGGACACGGCGGCGCTAGGGTTCCCCCCGGTCGCCGCGCAGGGGCGTCACGGGAGGAGTCGGGAGTCGGGATGAGATGTGTGACATAGTACTTAGTTGTTTGTAAGTCCTCTGTTCTATGGTCTGTTGTTGGAAGGAGTTCAGGAACTCCATAATTCAGTAGTTATTGCACTTGTACGCTTGCTTTCCCTTCAATTGAAGCTATGCGAACTGTTGCCTAACGGAGGAAATATTTAGTGATTTTTCTGACATTTGTGAATGCTTCCTTTTGGATACGTTCACTGATACATATTTTTTTTCGATAAAGGGCGACTGATATACATATATAAAGAGGGAATAGAAGTACCAATTGTTCCATTTGAATAAAATTGTTGGGCCTCTTATCTCTTCCTCTGATAATCCTTCTGCACAGGAAGTTTTTCTAATGTTAGAGCCTAATGGAAAATTACAAAAAAATCAACACATATCTCAGTAACTGGTATCAACAACAAATGGAAAAGATAGAGCCTGATCAAATTAACTTGCAATCACTGGCCGTAGTTACGATCATGAAACATCATGAAAAAAAAATACTCTCATAAGACATCCCAAGCAACAAAAAATGGGGATCATGCATAAGGAATTAACCTTTACAGCAGTGGTACGTGAATTGGCTGTATTTTGAGCAGTCTTGTATCCTGGGTTCTTATGTTTGCTCTTGTTAACTTTATTAGCCCACGCTCAGGCGCTCAGCTGCCATTATATGGTAATCATAATTGAGTCCAGTGTTGCTGATTTTCTGCAATTATTAACTCTGTTAAATATATTTCCACAAAAATATATAAAGTGCCAAAACCAAAAAATAAAGCAGAACTCCGGTGCTGACCAAGGTAATGTCTAAAAGGTAAAAAAAAACGGCTACAAGAATCCTCATGGCATCTATGCTGCACAGAACTTCAAACCATGAACTGAATGTAACCAGATAATGAGACATAACTTAAGAGTTTTTCATACAGTGATGGAAACTATTGAAGACATCCGTGGACAGAAATTTGGAGCACGGAGGTGAAGCTTTATGTCACACTGCTGCATGGGACCACCAGCATGCCAGATCGTGGTAAGGAGGAGGAGAAAGGAGGCTGCTATGAAGGAGCGTTTCTGAAGATACACTCTGACGAAACTGAAAGAAATGCGTAGTGCTGTCGAGCCTGTTGAAATAAATAATTACGTCGCCTGAAGAAACTGAAGAAATAAGTTCTTTGTGTCTCTCTTTCTTGTACTCCCCCAAGTCTTGTCTCTCTTCTGATCCCTGTTGTTCTTCACCAGATCCGTTACATACCCATGTGCAAGAGAGAGGTTAAGCTCAACTGGTGCTTCAAAGGGAGTCAGGATACTATGAGCTCACCGGTGACTTTCCGAGGTTCTGCCTGCAAATATACAGGCCGCACATCTTCTGAACTGCATCCATGCAGCGGGTACACCGGTTTATTCGTTTCACAGGATACCCTCTCCCCCAACATCAGCAGTTCTGGCCCTCCAGCTGCACAACTGAAAGCCATGGAGATCGCAACAAACACTACTATGCTTTCTATGATGCTGAGTAGAAACTGCAGCAGAATGCCACATTTCACTTAATGCAATTCTGGGTACTGCTAGCACCAAAACAACCAGTCTCAAGGCCTTGGTAGGTAATCAGATGCTTCTCTTGTTGATTCTGGCAGTTCTCGCAGCTTTCTAACCAAGAGTTTGTCGACAGACTAAATCTGTCAGTTACTTCCAGGCCCACGGTGCAGGTCAAAGTAGCTAATGGTGACATATTGACCTGTTCAACTGAACTTTCCCAGATTACATGGTTGATTGGATGGTTATGATGCTGTTCTGGGAATTGACTTGTTAGTCCAATACAGTCCTATGAAATGTAACTGGGTGGACAAGTGGATTCAGTTTGATTATCAGGGCAATTCAGTGAGGTGAAACTTCAAGTAGTGCTGTTTTCTCCCCTCATCACACTCACAGAGGCCACTTTAGAGCAAATTGACACTTGGTACAAAGGGAATGAGCTGTGGGCCACAACTCTGCTGCTATCCCACGGTACTAAAGTTCAGCCTGAAGTTCCTTCCCTGGTTCAGAATCTGCTAATCAAATACGAGGATATTTTCTCTGAACCAAATACACTGCCTTCTCATAGGCAATTTGATCACGCTATAGCTTTACAGGAGATGAACACGGCCACCATCAAAAACAAGTTTCCATTCCCATTTTGGATGAACTATTTCTAAACCGGATATAAGAAGTGGTTACACCAGATCAGAATCAATGCTAGAAGCTGATGAACACAAAACAACATTTAAAACCAAACATGGTCACTTTCAGTTCCGAGTTATGCCTTTTGGCTTAACAAATGACCCAGGTACTTCTCAGTGTTTGATAAATGCTATATTTGATTCATTCATGATAAATATTTTGCTAGTTTTCATGGATGACATCCTTATGTATAGTCCCACCGAGCTTGTTCAGCATTTGGAGCAGGTGTTCTCTGTCCTGCAGCATAATCAGTTCTTTGCCAAGGCAACCAAGTGTGTGTTTGCTGTTACTCAATTGGAATACCTTGGCCACATCTTTCTCACCAAGGTGTAACCAATGATCCACAAAACTGTAGCAATGCTCCAACGGCCCACCCCTGCAAATGTGACTCAACTAAGAGGGTCTTGGGGATTAACAGGCTCTTATAGGAAGTTTGTCCAGGGATATGGCCTCTTGGCCAAACCTCTCACCTTGCTGTTACAAAAGAACAAGCCCTTCATCTGGATGACTGCTACACAATAAGCTTTTGATCTGCTAAAAAAAGGCAATGGCATCTAAACCTGTGCTCGCCCTACCAGACTTCACCAAACAGTGTCACTGAAACAGGTCTGTGCTACAGGAGTGAGGGAAGTTGTCTCTCAAGAGGGCCACCCAATTTCTTATTATATCATGCCTTAGGGATGCAAAATCAGAAACTATCTATCTATGATAAAGAATTCCTTGCCATCATTATGGCCTTTGATAAATGGAGATCCTATTTGGTCAGAGGACTATTTGTCATCAAGACTGAGAGTTTATGACATCTGGCTGATCAATCTATTACAGTATCAGTTCCAGTACAAAAAGGGAGCGGACAAGAAAGCAACCGATGCACTCTCTCGTGTGGCCCAACAGTTGGATTTACAGGCCATTTCTGTAGTCCTACCTCTCTGGTTACAGGAGGTACTGAATTCCTTTGCAACCGACAGCTCTGCACAGATGCTGTTTCAGCAGTTCTCTTTGCACAGTCCTGATGAAGATGGATTTTATTTGGTGGATGGCATTATTCGAAAAGAGGGCAAGATATGGGTTAATGCTAATGCGACTTTGCAGACTAAACTGATCCGAGCTTTTCATGCATCTGCTCTAGGAGGCCAGCCAGGCATTCAAACAATATTTCAACGAATCCACAAACTATTTGCTTGGTCTGGGTTCAAAAGGGATGTCACTGAATTTGTACAGCCGTGCAGGCTAAACATGAACACTGCTGGACACCTGGCCTTCTCCAGCCACTGCCAGTGCCACAGGGTTCAGGCAAGATCTCTCTATGGATTTGATAGAAGGTCTGCCTAAATCCAATGGCCATTCAGTCCCTTTTGTCCTGGTGGACAGATATACAAAATGTGCACAGTTCTTTCCTCTGAAACATCCATACACAACAGCTACAGTATCTCACATACTCTTCGATATCGTCAAGTTACA